GATCACCAGCAGCGTTAAAACATGTCATTTGTGAACAATGCCTTAATCCAACCATAGACCGTCTATGATCCAACTGATCAATAGATTTGGTACTACATGTACATAAGCTCTACTAGTAGAAAGGCATATATTCTGATCACAAGGATATTACACAATGCTGGAGAAAGATTACACAATGCTGAAGAAAGATTTTGAATGATTCCCTTTCCCATGTATAGACAGTTAATCATCATGCAGTCAGCAAAAATGCTCCTATGTCAAAGTTTGAACACTAGTCACATTTCTAAATCCAATCCTGGACCAAGAGTCCTACATGTAGCCCTAAACCTAACCTTAACGTTTCATAGGCCATGTTCAAACCCTTTTACCTTTGGGCTTCAAGGACAAAATAAAGCTTGGGGTAAATTTTAACTGTTGGATCACCTGAAGTTGTACATGACAATCAATATTAAACCTCAACTGATAATTGCTAATAATATATGCCCTTTACACTATTTTTGACATATTCTTCCAAATGTTCATCAGGACAGTGGCTTTAGAGACTTCAAGATGAATGATTCAGATAAATATGTAAATACGACTACAATCAAATTGAACTGAATATGCTGTAGAAATTAATTCATTTAATCAAAAATACTTGAAATGATAATTCCTTTGCCAATGCTTCAAGTGTATATATCAACGTTTACTGATTTGTTTTACCTAGGGCGTATGTTTTCAACATGTGTTTTATCGAACCTATACGAGTAGACTACATACATGTGTACTTCCACACTCATTCTAACACATTTGTAAATGGGACTCCCCCACTAATTAATCTATGCTAGATGATCAAGCGTATTAAGAGCTCTATGTGAACAAACACCTTTTTTATATCAATTATCATTCATCTCATTGGTTCATTTAGCATGGCTTTGTGATAATGAGCAGAACTAATTAAATTTATAGATTTTTTAAAAATTTAACTGTTTACTCAGAAGTAGACAATAATTTCAAAATAATTTGAATTGTTGAAGACCCAAAATATACTTGTAGGCTTGCACATTAAAGCTAATCTTGAGCTCTGGTATGTGAATCAGATGTCGAGAGAACATGGCAATCCTGCAGTAGATTGATTGTTTAAACCAGTAAAATAAAAACAAACTCACACAAACTTGCTGGAAATCAACTTCAATAAAAACCACAACTCTCATATTTACACATAGTGACCAACTCTTATTTGAGGATTGTCTAACAAAGCAGCGAGGTAAGATAATTGGCACCCTTATAAAGCTTTTGCTCTTTAAACTGGCTTGAACCTAAAGGTTGTATAACTCCTTTCCTGACTCCTTCTAATTATACTTTGCTACATGTATCTGTGTCTTAAGACAGGGGTAAATGCTTATCTTCTTGGTGCAGAGAAAACAGTCTGAGACTGACAGGGGAAAAGCAGGGAGGTCAAAAGTAACTCGAGACAAAATAAGTATTTTTAGTAACTGAAGTTTGGAGGCAATATGGATCATAACCCATTATACATGTATGAGTGTGAAAAAAAAGTTCTTTTCAGATGGATTTTCAGTATCATGATATAATTACATTTTAGTAGAGTCATACTCAGTAGTACACATGCTTTGAAAAAATTCACAAATCAACCAGTTAGAATGTAACTGGTATGCTCTGGAAAAAAGTACCTTTGATGTCAGTTCAAAAAGAAGAAAAAGGAGATGATTACGTGAATACCACTATTTTAGAGTCTGAAAACTAGGCTATAAATCTAAATCATGTTACAATGAAGCCTTTGAGAGGTTCTGAAAAGAATTAACTCATTTTTATTTGATCAATGAGTCACTGCACTTCTGTAGCTTATTCAAAGCAGCTGCATTCAAACAATGAGTTAGTACTTCAAAAGGTTTAAGGTTGAACATTTAGGATTCTATGCTACAACAATGTTTGTTATAATCAAAATCACACACTTAATGTCCACTTTAGTAATAGGTCCATGGCTCTACATGGGTATTTTGGCTTTAACACGGGTATGTTGAGGGTATAGTAAATTGTGCATAAATACTTTGATAGTATTTCATTGTAATAGTTGCCCTAAAATAAGATGATAGAAAAAGAGGACAAAATACATACTGTAAGACAGATAAAGAGTGGCAAAGAAAACTCATATGCGAAAATATAACTTGCAAATTAGGAAAATAATAATCTAAGATTTTACTTGAGAATATGTAAAAAGTACTCTAATGACATGTTTAAAAAAAATTTAAAGAATCACAATTTCTGTTAAAAGTTTCTCTGGTTATTTATTAATGCTATGCATTAATGCAATTTAGCTTCATACACAATAACTATTTTGGGTTAGATCAAATATTTCATGGCAGCTAACAGGAGGCTAGAGCAAGCAAAAGTATATCTTATCTGTGACAGTTCTGTCTGGTTGTGTACAACACTGTGTACAACGATATGCCTAAAGCATTTAGTGAAGCCAGAACGACACTTACATTGTAGATTTGTTTTATACATATTGTATTATTTTGAAATAGATTTTGGATCAAGCTGTTTAGTTAACATTAGATTGTATACTTCATGCCTAATATACTTAATGATTATTGTATACAGTAAGTAATGATTGCTTTGAAAAGATAATCTGCTTTCTAGTTTCTACATCACATTTATCACCAACTTCAACATCAATGTAATTTGCCACTATTACCAGTGTCTTGGTGTGGCTAGGCCTTGATTAGGCTCAGCCACTGAAAGGACACTGGTATCATGAGAGGGGGCACATGATCAAGGCGAGGGAGGGCACTGGTCTCTTACTAGTTGGAAGAAATGTGCACTAACAAGGTCATCGGTTGGGGGCAGGTGGTGGGAGAGAGAGTTATCAGTTATGTATCTATTTTTTCTATTTTTCCTTCCTCCCTCCCCCCCCCCCCCCCTCTCTCTCTCTCTATCTTTTTCTCTCTCTCTCTCTCTCTCTGTCTCTCTCTCTCTCTCTCTCTCTGTTATCTCTCTCTCTCTCTCTCTCTCTCTCTCTCTCTCTCTCTTCTATCACTCTCTCTCTCTCTCTCTCTCTCTCTCTCTCTCTCTCTTATCTCTATCTCCAGGCGCGGATCCAGGGGGGGGCCGAGCGGGCCTTGGCCCCCCCCCCCCCCCCCGCAAAAAAAAAAAAAAAAAAAAAAAAAAGAGAGAAGAAGGAAAAGAAGGGAGAAAGGGAAAAAGGAGAAAAAGGGAAAGAAAGAAGAGGAAGAAGAAAAGTAAAGGGGAAGAAGGAGATCGGGGGGAGGGGCCGAAAGGGCCTTGCCTCCCAGGCTGTTAACCCCCCCCCCCCCCCCCCACCACCAAAAAATAAGAGAGAAGGAAGGAAAGGGAAAGAAAAAACAGGAAAAGAGGAGATACTGGCGTACTGATAGAGGGGGGGGGGGGGGGGCTTGGGGGGAATCAAATTCAAACGTGGTTTATTTCTGATTCCACAACGGTGTATTACAAATAATGCTGAAATGACATAATTTCCGAAATTTTGCCTCAATTTTTAGTAAATTATACGTTTGTATGTGTTTGTTGGAAAATAAAAAATTCCTAAATTTACAACCAGGCAAAAAATATGATTCTTGAGATTCCTACATGTCAGGGCCCGAGGTACGGCGGGGATCGAGAGCCTCGAGGCATCAAAATATGCTCATCTGACCGTGATTAAATGCCTAAAACCCCTAAGCTTCCGGGGGCTTTGCCCCCTGGATTCCATCTAGGGCCCTACGGCGGGCCCTTAGATGATCATCTGACAGTAATTTAATGCCTAAACCCCCTGATTTTTTGGGGCTCCGCCCCCTGGACCCCACGCCAAATAGTGACTTGCCAGTGTCACAAAATAATAAGGTATACACAAAAATATGCTCATCTGACCTTAATTAAACGCCTAAAACCCCTGAGCTTCCGGTGCCGGCTCCACCGCCTCGACCCCACCTCTTTGAAATTCAGACAAGGATTAAGAGTATGGAGAACGGTACAACGCATCGTTTTCTTTCTCTAATAATAAAACGTCAAAGCCTCGCACAGGAGGGAAGGAGGGGGGGGGGACTGAATTGAGACGAGGATTCAGAGGCGAGAACGGTAATACGAATCTTTATTTATTTAATGAAACGTAAAAGCTTATGCGCTTCGCGCGGGATGGAGGGGGAACTAAATTCCGATGAGGATTATTTTCGAGAACGGTACAATGAATCGTCTTCTTCTCTAATAATTAAATGAAGATTAAAAGCTTCCGCGCTTTGCGCGGGAGGGGAAAAACTAAATTCAGACGCGAATTATTTTCGAGAACGGTACAATGAATCGTCTTCTTCCTTTAATAGTTTAATAAAACGTCAAAGCTTCCGCGCTTCGCGCAGGAGGGGGGGCTGAATTTAGACAAGGATTAAGAGTCGAGAACTGTACAACGAATCGTCTTCTTTCTCTAATAATTTAATAAATCGTAAAATTTTCGGCGCTTCGCGCGGGAGGAGCAAAACTAAATTCAGACGAGAATTATTTTCAAGAACGGTACAACGAATCGTCTTCTTTCTCTAATAATATAATGAAACGTCAAAGCCTGGGAGGGGGAAACTCGCCCCCCCCCCCCCCCCCCCCCCCGCATAACGTCACCGTTGGTCACCATAACGTACCAATATTTGGCTCGCATAATTTCAAATTTGGGCCCCCCCCCCTAAGAAATCCTGGATCCGCGCCTGTCTATCTCTCTCTCCCTCCATGTACATTCAATTGGGGGACTACCCTCCCCCACCCAACCCTATCATGGTCATGATCACTTCATCAGTGTCATCACCACTATCATTTACCATCAATATTTCATTTAACTTTAACCAAAGTTTGATTTGAAAGACAAGTTTTGTAACAGCTATCATTGTCATGCATATGCACTTGATCCCCAAAATACACAACACTACAATCTCTACTGGTTAACCTAGAAAGGGCCGGCCACGGCACAACAGGTGTTTGTTTGTTTTTTAAATGCCATGATTTACCTTGAACCAGACAGCAGACTCTAGACCCGTGATTGAAGCTTCTACGACATCCTTCACCTTCCTCCCATTCCTAACAGTGGTACGTTCCATATCCACTTGAGGCACACTTCCATCTCGAAGAGAAATCTTTCCAAAAATCTTCCATCTTTCACATCCACCTTGCCCATCACTGATGCCCGAAGAGCTACGGGAGCAGGGCAGTTGCAGACCCAGGGCACAGGCGGAGCCTCGGCCACGGATATACATATACATCGCTGGATTTCAGCTCACCTCCCGGCTTCTACGTATCGAACAAATATCAAGCTTCTAATACAGATTATATATCCAGAATACATAGTCACCTCCCTGATGAAGCACATTTGGAGCTACCAATTTTCGAAGTAAAGTTTATTACCTTTTTATAGGTAATTTGTTGGAAATTTCGTAAGAAGAACATCTTGCGAAGTCATTCTGATCTAGTGCACGAAGATCATGATACAGGCTGTCATAAACCCACTCAAGTGACGTTACTGCATGCATGTATGCACAGTGTGTAGAATCGCTAGGCTATTTCTCTACTTCCTCTTCCGCAAACTTTATGGTACTGTGTAGTCTTCCATACTGTACCGGGCTCCACTCTAAAGTATTCTGTGAACTTTATTTTACTCAGAAATTATTGAATGAGATAATTATGTAAGGCTTACAATCCGCCCTGTTAACCGATTCGATGGCCCTTTTAAAAGCAATCGACAATTATTATTGACTGAATTTGAGGTGTAGCTGTAAAAAGAGGTTTCTCCTCGACCAGGAAGCTGTACTTCGTTGCTTGTATATACTGGCATTGGCGGGCTAGATAAACTATAATGACGATTTATTCAATTATAACGATTCTTTCGACCTACACTTTTTAAACTTTCTTTATAATAACAACACTACCGTCTTCTTTAATCTGACTATGATAACATGGTTATGACACATAAAGGCCTACATGCACCCGTCCTAAGTTTAGGCGGGGGTCGTTTGAATGATTATAACTATAATCAGTCAGGCCTTGGCGATAATTAATTGATGTCGTCTCGGTTCCAAATCAACTAATATACAAAACACATATAGCCACTAACCCAATAATTGTAATAGGTCTATATTCAGATAAGTAATTGTGGTCTCATTTACCAACGTCTTCTCTGGCGATAGTAAACTTGATCAGTCTTTTAGCTATATATCTCCCTTAAGAGTAATAGAGATTCTCCTGGTTTCATGTTTTAATGACATCTAGAAACTACTTCATTTTATAGCAAAGTCGAGTTAATGAGAAGCATACAGGCTCATTCTTCTCATTCGAGTCATTTATTTTGTTTGTTTTTGTTAGCGTTGTGTAATTGTTTTTCCAATGCCACTCATAATTATTTACACCACGTAGAGGATGGTCCCAGGGAAACAATATATAACACATAAAGTCATGTTCTTTAAGGGGATAACCCTAAGACACAGATTGGTGGTATTAACTGAAGGCAGGCGCGTAGCCAGGGAGGCTGTGGGGGCGGTCGCCCCCCCCCTAAAAAAATATTTTAAAAACGCCGGCCAAAAAAAAAAGAGAGAAAAAAAAAGAAGAAAGGAAGGGGAACTTGTTTTAAACAAGGATTAAGAGTCGAGGACGGTACAACGAATCGTCTTCTTTCTCTAATGAAACGTCAAAAGAAACTGAATTTAGATAAGGATTAAGAGTCGAGAATGACGGTCCAACGAATCGTCTTCTTTCTCTAATAATGCAATGAAACGTCAAAGCTTTCGCGCTTCGCGCGGGAGGGGGGGAAGTCCCCCGTTCCTGCACCCCCCCCCCCCCTAAAATGAAATCCTGGCTACGCGCTTGACTGAAGGACCTCAAATCGTCATAACGCAGAAATTAATGGATCATTAACGTTTACTAGAGAATAATAAGGAAACAATTACTCTTTAAAACAATAACGCCATCATCATCATCTATGATCCTCAACCTCTCGATACTCTCAAGAGCGCACATCAAATCTATCTACTTATGAAAATAATTGTTAACTAAACTCGTGGCACAATATCAGCATTTCACTTCATTCATGGCACAATATCAGCTCTTCACTCATATGTCACTCATGTGCTTTTGTCTTTGTAAATAACATCACTCGTCCATATTCTGATTATGTTAATCATTTATGTTCTTAACAATTCGTTTAACAAGTTTATAGCGCTCATAACTATCAAGCGTGTATTTTGCGCTGTATAATTATATGGACATTATTAATTTCTGCATTAACCTGATTTTATTGGCTGTCCGGGTACTTAGATTCCAACTCAGCTAGCATATTAGCGTGTTATATACAACTTGGAATAATGATACACATAGTTAAATATACAATATCTGTGTATTCAAAAGTAAGTTACCTTATTCTCTAGGAAATGATGTCTAAACGTTACATCGTTTAACTTCACTAAAAGCGAAATGAACTCATCTAATTAGATTAAACGACTTAATTGCGATATTACCGCGGACCGTTTTAGAACTGATTCCAAAGTGTAGTGGTTATCAAGGAAACTTCAATGGGAAGAGGGAAATAAGTAGACTTTGATGCGAGGAAACTGATAACAGCTCCTCTTGACCACTTCATTAAGAATTGCTGATTGAATACGTCGGCATTGTGCGCAGAAACATGGGTCCTGTAAAATTGACCGCCGAAATTTCTGATGATTAACTATATATAAAGATTAATAGATAAATACATTGTTCATATTGACATAGATATAAAGGTTGAGAGATAAGAAGAGAGGGGAGAAAAAGAAGTTTAAATATAGATAAACTGAGGGATGTGTAGATAGAGTTATACATTGGCGGGTATATAACGATGGAGAGATTATTTTTTTGATGGTTGTGATGATGATAATGACGATGGTAATGATGATGATGATGATGATGAAAATGAGGATGATGATGATGATGATGATGATGATGATGATGATGGTGACGGTGATGATAATGATGATAATGACGATGGTAATGATGATGATGATGATGAAAATGATGAGGATGATGATGATGATGGTGGTGACGGTGATGATAATGATGATGGTGATGATGATGATGATGGTGATGGTGGTGGTGGTGGTGGTGGTGGTGGTGGCGGTGGTGGTGGTGATGATGATGATGATGGTGGTGATGATGATGGTGTCAGGTAATGATGATGGTGTCTGGTGATGATGATGGTTGTGGTGATGGTAATGATTATGATGATAATGATGTTGCTGGTTGTGGTGGTGATGATGATCGTGATAATGGTGGTGATGGTGATGGTGGTGATGATGGTGATGATAATAATGATGTTGGTGGTTGTGGTGATGATGATGATAATAATGATGGTGGCGGTGGGGGTGGTGATGATGGTGATGATAATGATGGTGTTGGAGTTGGGGGTGATGATGATGTTGATGGTGATGATGATGATGATGGCGGTGATCGTGATGATTATGGTGATGGTGTTGGTGGTGGTGGCGGTTATGATGATGTTGACGATTCAAATATTTTGAGTAATAAGGACTGTGTATTCTATTATATAGATTTTTTTTCTATAAAGCCTACATCTATTGTAGACTCTGCAAATATTGTGAACTGAATTCATAAAAATTCAAATTATGAATGTAGGAGGTCACAAATGATTTGATTTTGAAATAACTGGCAGGAAATTACCATGCTTCTTTCTCAGGGGTGAAGGTAGGTGGCGCTTGAGGCAATTGCCCTCGTGGTTTACGAAATAAGCACCCCTCCTACCGCCCCTCCATAATAAATATGTAAAATGTATATTTTGTAACATTCAGATTCATTTGTTTATTTGCTTCACATATAGATTCTCGACACATGTAAACGAGTAAAGGTTCAGCAAATAGATATATTTTGACTTTTTGTGTCAGAAATGTGTAGATCTGGGGCCCAACCCTAATATACCCTGCTCTTCTTTATGATGAAGAGGGGGGCATTAAGCCACAGTTAATTCGCAACGACTTAATCAGCATTGTCTCTTCCTCCTTCATATTGTCATCTTAAAATCTCTTCTTCGATAACAATAATGAAGTCCTTGACACTCCCGACACGACAGACAGCTGTTTCGGTTATGACATCCTGCTAGTAGCAATAATGTTTAATACATTGATCACGTGCTCATAATCTCTAACTTCCTGTCATATTAATTTCTGAATGATATCTTAAATCATTGTTACAATATCTTCCTAACTTTATGTCAAGTTAAAACACTTATCAACTTTACTCTTTTTTAAGTTTCACTCTTCATTCTCATTTTAAGAAAGGAAATCGTGCGCTTAATATTTGGTTGAATTAAATATTCATAATCATATTTATGACATTTTACTCTTCTTGATGCTCTCCTTTCCCTACCCGCAGTATTTAGGTTTTAAAGATGTAAAACAGGAAGTAAACCATCCATTATATTAATCAAAATCAAATTTACTTGATCTAAATTTATTAATCTCTGCATTGCATTGACATGTATTGTTAACTCAACGAAGGATGCGTTTATTTAAATACCTCTTTCTTTGTTTCCGTTATCTTTATGTCTTCTTGTTCTTCTCTCTTTCTTTGTTTCTTCTATTTTCTGTGTGTTTATGTTTGTCTGTGATTATATTAAATCTATTAGGCCTCTAAGCTCTCTACCGATTAAGTTTGTCTTATTGAGTGGTCTAGAATCTCAAATAACAAGCACACTACTGTAGTACAAATAGAAGAGTTTTGTCATCCTTCTAATCAAATGGAACATTAATGACTTCTAAATGTCTGATACGCAGTCGTCAGACGTCGTGTAATCAGTTAATACAGCGCCTAAGGATTTATATTGTCTAGATCACTGATATAAGCTAAGAAAATGAATTTAGAACGGGGTGGGGGTGGGAGGGGGGGGGGCAAACGTTGAATTAACAATGACAGGAAATGTGATAAATTGTCAACTATACTGTGCTTCATTTTCTGTTTCCCCCCATATTCTCGCAATATTTTCATAAACAAGAAGAAACTGTGTGGAGATTTTAAAAAATACAAACATTAGGTTTTACCATCATTGACTACGAGAAATACACACAAATTATCACGTATTCTGGATGCCTTAGCGGTATATATCTAAGAAAAAAATACAATGGAAAATATCCCCCTTTTGCCCCAGCACTGAAACACCATATAAATCACTCATGAAATTAGTTAAAATTAAAATTAATTAATCAAAGAATTAAAAAAAACAGGACTTTTTTGTTACTTGGTATATCCGCTGTCCTTAAAATAGTTTTGCAATATAAAGTTTGAATTATACGGGGAATTTGTCATAATAATGACAAACTATTGAACTAAAACCAATACATTCTTAACATCGAATAGTGGCCAACCCAGAAAAGAGTCAGCAACAGTTGTTTGGACAGTCTAAGCAGGGACTTGGGATACAACTAACAAGTCCCTGGTCTAAGTGTATACCTATACCGTACCATAAGCTGATATATAACCTGAGAAT